TTTTGAGGCACTAAAAATTAAGCACAACAGGGCCAGAGAAAGATGCTTTGGGGAACAGCCTTGTATCTGTGCAGCAGGCAGTGGTCCTGCTTTTAATTTTTCAAATCATTTGACATCCCCTCTGCTGCTTCTCACCTGTAGGAGTTCCATTGCTTTAGGAAAAGCACAAATGAAACACTCAGTTGAAACTTTCTACTGCTGTGGGAGGGCATGGATAGCTAGCTTTGAAGTCTCACAGGGAAACCAAGCAGTCTGGCTAGTCTGGAGCTGGAAGAACAGTACAAAAATGCTGGTCAAACAGCTGAGGACCTCTCTTGGTTCAGCAGCTTGTGCAACACCAAGTCTTTTTCGTCTCTCTTTAGTCCAAGTATCAGGCAAATTTACTGTTATTGTGTACACAGGGACAGCATTCTGCTTTATGAATTGAGACTGGAAACAACGACAGCATAGAGCAGGTTAGCATGCTGGAGTACAATCTCAAGGCCAGGGGTGTCACTGGAAGCTTACACATCACACTTTTACCTGCATTTACCAGGTAAGGGCTACAAATTCCCCCTCATAAGGCAGTTTCCCCTTTAGACTAGATAACATAAGACTTGCTTCACTTCTCAGTGACCTCAGTGTTACCCTGTGGGTGACAAAGCAACAGGAACAAGTTTGCTGGATCACATAACAGTACACTGAATTGGCTTGTAAAGAAAGCACCACTAAAAAACAAGCTGAGGGGTGTGGAGGATGGTAATTCTCTCCCGTTACGGAAATACTGCATTCCAAGAAAGGTAAAAAGTCCAGTCAGGTAAGATTTGCAGAATCACTGTCATCACTGAGCTATGTGATACCATAAGCTGCATTTCATCAAGCACATTTATTTCAAGTTCACTCCCAGCATTGTCATCTTCCTTTTGTCAAGGGGAGTTTTAAGCTGCAACTGACCCACTCACAAGCCTTGAGCTGATACCTGAACAATTACCCAGGGTTTTTCTGAAGGTGGAAACAACTGTTGGAAGCTGATGCAAGCAGATCCTCTCTCACTGGGGATTCAAGTACTCTTGTTTTAAGGCAAAGCAAAGCTTCAACTTTCACCTGTGAAACTTCTGGGTGAAACTCAGCAACAGGAGGAAATCCAAATGAAAAGATTAAATGACACTTATCAAAGTTCAGAAATATTTATGTTAGAAGACACTCCTGCACATCAGCCAGCTCAACGGCCCACCTAAAGCAAGGCTAATTTCTAAACTAGATCAGGAGACTCAATCCTTTCGTACAGGTATTTCAGCGATGTTGTCCATTTCTACACTACAGAATCAAAAGCTGTGTCTAGCTGAGCCTATTCTGCTGACTAGGATGAACTGCCATGCCAAGAAAAACCATCTTCAAGCTGCAGCAAACCTCCAGCAGCGGCTGCAGAACAAGAGCAAATCCTGTTCCATCTCCTAAAGCTGCTTGGCTTTGCTATTACCAGCCTTCAGGTAGAAGAGTAAACATCTTATTTCTCCAAACAGTTTTCCTGACTTGTAATAAAAGACAGGTTCCTCTTTTTAAGATAATACATTTGATAAATTCTGACTTTGATTTAACACATATCCCTACAATATGCAGATCTTGGGTTTGGGATTAGTTTCTCCTCAATTTTACAAATTAGTTTTTATTATAATATCTCCTACTGTAACACCTGAGGGATGCAAACAAGTTGTCCATGAAACAGTTCTACGTTACAACTCCTACAATGCTTGCTCAACACAATCATACTTCTGTCACATCTCACCTCCCAGCTTCCTACAGAATATTACTCCCCCAAGTACAAGACAAACTGCTTAACACCTCCCGTTTGCCTTCAATTAATCGTACAGGAGAAGCTTTCCTTGTGAGATGCACTGACAGAGCCCTAGAGGAGAGATTTACCTGTTCCTTACAGTTCTGTAGGAGGTGATCCTGCAGGCAGCAGCACCCTAAGTCCATCGGAGCTCTGCACAGACTCCAGCCTCCTGCTGCCGGCGCTGGGACGCTGTGCTCCAGGGAGGTGCAGACACCTGCTTTGTTATTCAGAGCCACTGCTAACTCAGGCAGTTCCGGCTTTCTTGATAGAGCTGCAACTCCACCCCACCTTCTGCCACCAGGCCAGCCTCAAGGCTGTAGGAACACGGGGCAATAGCTTCGCAGTGAGTCACAGGCTGTCTGAAACAAAGCAGAACTAAGGGAAAGCAAAGCACACTACCAACTCCTTTCTGTAAAGCACAAAGACAGGCAAAAATTGCCCAGGATGGGTAAGCGGCAGGCAGATCAGCGGGCATAAGGCAGAGCCCCAGCCTGCCGCATTCCAAACCCTCCTGGTTCTCAGCTGGCCACTCAGCTCAGAGCAACACAGCCTGTGGTCACAGGCTCACTTACTGCAGCTGAGCGGGGAACAAGCTGCAGTTTTGTAGCCCCTGATCACGTAGAAGCCAGATCTGCTTCGGCAGCTTCTTTCCACAAACCTTTCTGCGCTCTGAGAAACTGAGATATAGTAGAGAAAATTGAGGAAAGCAGCGCAGGTTACATTACTACGACCTACAGGACAGCTGTGTCTATCAGCCAGAATCACCTCACCTCATCCATCCAGCAATACAGACACTAATATTCTCACAGCATGGGGCACTTAAGGATACCCCTACGCTTCCTTCAAAGTAACAATCTTTTCCCACCCCTTAAAAGGCATGGGAATTAAGATCTACCACATCTCATCCAAATCAATCTTCACTTGCATGTCTCGCTGGGCCTTGCTAATCTCACTGGCTTATGCAATATTAAATCCCCACATTAAAACAAGAAAAAGCCATGGAATTAACATACACCTTGCTTACTGAGCTCCTCCACATATAGTGCAGGAGAAACCCTCCCACACACCACGCACTGGACTTGTACCTTCCTCCACAGCAGAGTTAAGCAATTCATTTGCCAGGTAGGAGCAGACACTACAGCAGCCTTCCAGTTCCTAACGGGGGCTAAAATAAAGCTAGAGAGGGGTCTGCTCCCAGGGAGCACAGTGACAGGGCAAGGAGTAACAGCTTTCATCTAAGAGAAGGTGGACTTACATTAGAAGTAAGGAAGAAGTTCTTCGCTATGCAGGTGGTAAGGCTGTACCCAGAGAAGCTGTGGATGCCCCACACACAGTTTAGATGAGGCCCATGGCAGAAGGGTTGGAACTGGATGATCTTTAAGGTCCATTCCAGGATTCTGCGCACCTTATCTTTTGATTTCACTTTTCTTTATCTGTGAAGCAAAATGCTCACTATTTCTGCATCCTAGTATATCCTGCTCTTCACCTCCAAACACCATTTAAGGAACTTTTCATTGCCTTGTTTCCTCTTTCCTGAAGAAGCTCAGAGATGTCTAGCACTCATATCTTCACTTCAATGGCAATCTACTTAAAACAGCCCAGTCTCACCATCAGGACAGCCAGCACCTGTGTTATCAAGAGAACTGACACACCTTGGTGTTTCACACACTGAACTTCCCACATACTATCTCTTCCCTTTCCTTTACACAATGCTCCCTCACTCCCAAAGTTTATCTAACTTAAACAAAACCCACACAAATTGAATTTCATCACCCAAAGACTTTAGCAGAAGCTAACATATACACTCCATGACCATTTGTCAAATGCCGTAACACTGGATCTTCCTGCATGATATCTTAGAGAAGGGCTTTACAAATCTGCTGTTTCGGAGCTTACAGAAACAGCTCACGGCTCTGCTAGCAGCTGAGTTAGCTCTCACATCCACACAAGTGGCATTAATCTCTGGAAACGTGGCACAGGCAGAATGCTTTCCAGCAGTGACTCCTGAAAAAGACCATCTATCCAGGGCTGTAATACTAAAATAGCTCCTGGAAGTAAGCTTACTCCATCCCCTGGCTGGCTCCATTCTGCAGCAAAGCAAAGCACACCAGGCTGTCCTGGAGTCCTGCTTATTCAGTATGTGAGGTGGGCAGAGCACAGTGCACTGCAGCTCTCAGGGCTGTGCACCACACCTAAGCACCCATGACTCATTAACCAAGCAATGCATGAGCATTAGCCATAGATCATAAACCCGGATCCAAGAGCTGTCAGCAGCTCATGCCTACTCCACATGCCAGTCAAGAAGCCCGTGGTTTTACAGCCTAGGTAGGCCTGGGAAAGACAAGGTTAACCAAATCAAGAAGTTTCTGACGTGCCCCCTGCAATTCCATCTGCTGGGACAGAAGAGACACCGCCAGAGTGACTCACAGCACACATTTCACTTTGTCACAGCAGTTCTGTCCTTTCCTGCTTGTCAAGCACAGCTTCCTCCTTTGCCAGAACAATGAAGGATCTCTCAACCTCCTGAACTTGCCTCTTTCCTCTCTTCCAAACATAGACTGACAGAAGTTGCCATCATCCTCTATGCAGAAAGGTGCTCCCCATCCACCACCAAACCACGGGGGAGATGTGAAGACCACGATTGCTTTCAGCACTTTCTGGCTTTCCCATCTGTGCGAGCAGATGAGATGCGCACTGATAGCAAGGCTGGGGAAGGGCACTGTGCTGCCTGCAGCACAGCTAGGGAAGCTACCCTAGAATGGCAATTGTAACCAAGCAGTACATGTTCCCTTTCGGCTCCTGCAAAATGACCCATCTTATCTCTAGTCTATGAAAAATTAAAAAGCATCCCATGCCACGTGAAAGTTATTAAGTCAATAATCAATCAAACTCTCTTTGGCTAAGTGGGAACTCCAAAGCACACTTAGACACAGCATATAAAATGCCAAAACACACTGCACAGATCAGAGGTACATCTTGCTTACAAATTACACGATTTTGTATCATGGGTGAAAAAGTTAAGCATGGCCCTCTTTTCAAAATACAGAGGAAAAACTTCACAGCCATCCACCTCACTGAGATGTCCCAGATAGGCAGAATGGGAAACGCCACCAAACACCAGAGCACAGCCCTGTGCTGGTGCACACAGATGTACTTCAATGGGCTCCAATGGGCTCCTACTGGCTTACCTCTGATCTGAAATGACTCCTGGTGCCTTCAATTCTCATCTGAGCCACTCCTTTCCAGCATGCCTTCATCGCCCGTGTAATCCAATAGCTACCTAGATACCAGACAATACCACTGGGCAGTTTGCACAGACACCTGAAACTTCCCAACTAGCAGGTGAGCCATGCAGAGGACACCCACAGGCAGGTATGGCTAAGGTGCTTTTGCTGCTCAATAGAAGGATCAAACGGCACACAGAAGAGCTCTCTTTCCCCACGTTACCCTTTCCATTACAAGATGGTTATGAGAACAGCCTACAGAGCCAGCAGCAGCACTGGAAATAGGACAGAGAGAACAGTTGGTGCTCAGCGAGAGCAGCACAGCTGCCAGCTCCCTGCAAAGAGCAGGGCACAAAACAGGCCACGACTGCTTGTTTGGGTGCTGGTTCTTCCTGGGACCCCTTCACCGGGAGCTCCATTCCTGCAGGCAAAGGGGCTACGCAAAGGGAAAGCAAAAGGAGTGCAAAGTCAACACCACACCCCAGTAACAGATCAGCTCATCAGCTGCTCCTGCGCGACCCCAGGACCTCGGGAAGCTCACCTCCGCGCCGCTCACATCCCGTGCAGCAGAGCAGGCGGGCAGCGCGGCACCGCCCGCACCTGGGGCTCGTCCGTATCGAGCGGGGCGATCCCTGCGAGCGCACGGCCGGGGCCGGGCCGAGGCCCGACAAGCCCGGACAAGTCCCACGGAAGCCTCTCCCCCAGGCTGCCGGCTCGCACAGCTCCAGCCCCGCTGCCCGCCCCGGCTCACCGCGTGGCAGCGAGGGCTGGCTTTCATCTCCCCCGAGGAAAGCCACGTGGGGATGAATGCGGGACTCTCCCTTAGCAAAGCAACGTAACGCAGCTCCGGTCACAGCGCGCTCCCTGATGACACTACTGGGACTCGTGCCGCATCCACCGGCCGCAGGGGGGCGAAGGCTTTCCCTGCCAGCCCGCCCCAAACTGCGATCCCGGCTCCCGTGCAAGGCTGCAGGAGGGCCGGGGCACCTCGATCCCCAACAGCTGTTAATTGCTGTTGCGCAGTGGATGCAAGAACGTCCCGCATCTGCTTCCTCTCAACCCTGTTGCTTTCAGTTCCTCCAGATGAACCCTTCGCTACAATGTTGGTCTGCAGGCTGCTCCGAAGGTTTTATTTATTAAAAAGGAGTTAATTTGACAAGTCACTCTCTTGCAAGCTCAGCTAGACCCTGTCAGACTCCACTGACTGAGCTCTGCTTCCCCAGCCCTGCACAGCCTCTTGGTCTCAGTCTGTACATTAGGAAAAGAAGTTTACAAGTTCCCTATTTTGAAGAGGGGCAAGAATAAAAATATTTATAAAACAGGCTCCAGCCCAGACATTTACCATTCTCCCTTAGATTCTAAGTCCTCTTGGCCAGAGTGACAAGCGTAGGGGGAAAAAAAGTGTTCTAGAAGCAAGAAAAGGGCTGAATGTAGGAGAATGTTTGCGCCCAGCTGCCCTGAAATGCCAGCATCTCTGTTAGCAAGGCAATGGTTTGCCAAAGAATGAAAAATGTCTCATCTCTGCCTCTAAGCTAACAATTCCCACAGTTTTTATATAAACAAGTACTTGTTGGCATATTTACAAACAGCAATTGACTGCAGCTTCAATTTAGAAAGTGCCACAAACACCAAAGCTTTCACCAGAGGTTGAGTGCCCCCACTCAGCAAGGCAGTGTCCAGCAAGAGCTGGTTCTGATAGCCAAACTGAACACAAAGCTTGCAAAAAATTAAAAAGGCAACAATAGCTAGAAAGATGAGAGGTGGCTGAGGGAACCACACTGCATTGAGACAGCTTGGATTAATCTCTTGTGTGCATGAAGTTATCCCAACCATTCTGTGCTGTGATCCCCTGGTCCCATAGAGCAGCCACCGTTCATCCCTGCATCGCCTCACCCAGGCTGCAGCTGCAGAGGAGCATCCCCACCTGAGGCTGAGCCAGCTCCAGGCTGCATGCTGGTTCCTTGGGGTTGGCGTTATGGTATCACCACAGGTTAAGACAGGCCTGGAAGCTACCTCTGAATGCAGGGTTTGAAGCCAAATGCTTGAGACTTGGCAAGAAGAGGTGGGTATTAGTCTGACATAACCAAAGGAAGTCTAAATGCTGTGAATACACTTTATTTGCAGCCACCAGAGAACAAGGGAATTCTGATGGCTGCCCGCACAGTGCAGACACTTCATAGTTGAATAGAAAGATTAAGCTTAACAACATCATTGAAGTGCACATATCTGGAAGCCAGCAATCCAAGGCTTCTCACAGGCATGCTGGCACCATCACTGAACAGTTTTTGAAGGCAGATTGGCATCCTGCCCCACAAAGGGCAACTGCTGCCTCTAACCTGAAAGAGCTGTTGCCACTTCAGAGCCATAATCCTTCCCAGGCTCATACAGGATGGGTCTCACCAGTGGAAGCTCTCCAGAGCTCAGAAAACAGTAGTTACAGCTCAGCTTACACCTGATGAGAGTTTAAGGCCCTGTGACTCTTAAGAAGCACTTGAACCCATCTCACTGACGGTGAGTGCCCTTGTTGCTAAACCAAGCTGCCTTCAGGCAACCTGCTTACAGGGTAGGAAGCACTTCTCAGAGAGAAATGCTGAATGCTGCTGCACAACTGCAGCAGATGGAGGCAGAAAAACCCCAGCTGAAGGCCAACTGCAGAGATGCAGCTTCAACTAAACAGAGAAACTCTGACAGGACGATAGGGACTGAAATTCAGTAGCTAGCCAATAGTGGTTTATTTAATCTTCAAATGAAGGTGATTCACCTTTCCAGCACTCTGGTTCAACCCAGCAAGCTATTAGACTAGCTAAATGATTTATCGCTGCTCAGCTGTCAGATTACTTCAGTGGATCCCTTCCATTCTCAAAGAACTACGATACAAAAGGAGATTGACCTGAACTCATACATTACCTGCACAGTTATCCCTAATCACAATATGCATTCATTAAAAACTTCTACTGCGTACAGATGTTGGCAGTAGGTTTTAATGCTAGCTAAGAAAGATACGTAAGTACAGGGAGATTACCTACTCTCTCCACAGAGTGCAGCCAGTTTGTTGATCTCCATCCTGTATCCAAGACATGACTCACCACACTGCCACTTCACCTGCCAAGGGCAAAACAGTACCATCAGATGGCTGCATTTCTCCACACTATCTCAGTGTTTTCTTTAAGATCTCAACTGCTCCCCATCCGCTCCAGCCTACCCCATCTAAAGGTACCACTATAGGTTCAGAAGTCATGCTATCTCTCCCCTTGAAAAGGACATTCCTTTAACATATATGCAACACAGTCTTCGGTAAACAGGTAAAGAATTCAGGCTTTCCCCAAGATTCATTTCTGGTAAAGCACAGCAGGACTCTGCAAACGTCCACTTCTGCCAAACATAGAAACCATTTGCCTTAAATGCAGCATTGGCCTGGTAATAGACATAAATATTGCATGTACAATAGCATTTATTGTGTTCACAGTTGTATTTATTATATAAAGAATTCATGCCTACTCAACAAGCCCTTTGGCATTGTCTCATGAGCACTTCCCAGAAGCTAAATCTAACATGGCTCAAGGTCTTCATACAAACCTGACAAACCACAACAACCTGTTTTACATCTGCCTTTGTGAAAATATCTTGATTGGAGTCTAAGTCAGGAAACTTCAGCAACAAGTGAATGAGAAAGGCATCTAACTGCAGTGTCATATGCTTGAATAAGTGCCCTCAGTTTATCTCGCCATACTTCAGCAGAGATGGATTAACTGTGTGCACAAGCTCATAGCCTGTGTTATCAGGAGTTAACACAAGTATCAGACCAGTGAGGGTGTACTAGCCCAACTCAGATACCCCTTTATTTGCCATTGTCTGAGAGCATGAAGACATCTCATCTGCCAGCTGAACTTAAATAACAGCTGGGGTCTAAACATATCATCACTTCACTCACTGCTGAAGTTTTGCTGTAGCAATTGAGTGGATGAAGGCTGGAGACCAGGACTCATTACCCACCCAGAACTTGAACATAAGCTAAGAGAAGCTGCCAGAGGAGGACAACCCAATGACCTGACAGCTCAGATACAGATCCAGCTCTCTCGAGCTCCTTTGGAGGCTGTTTCTCCATAGGCTGTCTGCTGGTGCAGGTGCACATGCGTGCATTTGCATACTTTGTAAAGGACAATTATGGCTAATGAGATGGGGGCAAAGTCTCTTCAGTTGTACAGCCATCAATCCAGAGCAAAGTGACTGGTATCAGTGAATACACTGCTACTCAGTAGATGCACTGCAGACACAGCCTCCACCACTACCCTTGGAGCAGTGCAAACATGAAGCCTACTTTAAGCTGAGGAAACATTTAGTAATTCTTTCAATCTAAGTAGCAGCTTCTACAAAGAGCATCTGTTAGGGATGCTAGACAGCTGTTCAAAGTGAAGCAGTCTGCTGTGCTGCAGCAGAAAGCTAAGCTAGCAGGGGAGAAAAAGGCATGGAGTAGCACAGTGATCATTTCTATTATTCAATTTCCTGCAAGCCTAAAGGAACCTTTCCAACAAGCCATGCCACATAGTTCTGTTCTCCACACTATTTCACATAATGCCAGCTAAAGAACAAGCTTACCACTAAAGAAAGCAGATTCAGGATTAGAAAGACCTACATCCTTTCTCTAGCTGCACAACTGCTAACACAGATTTTCAAGATCTAAAACTGCATAGAAGCAGCAATAGTCTTGCAACCCAAGAAATGTCCCTATGGGAAATTACAGCTGCACCTATAATCTGAATAAACTCCCATGTCCTCTGCATATAAACATATTCCTATTTTCAATTCATAAAAATCTAGAGGAGAAAATGAATCAGATGAAGAGCTGAAACATCCAACAGTGAGCATCTGACATTAGAAGCAAACAACTGAGCCTGCAATCAGGTATCAGTGAGTGGAGAGGGGCAGCTCCCAAAGAGGTCAGCACTGTTCCTCTCTGTCTTTGGCACACAGGCTGCTCTGTCACCCTGAGAGCATCATGCCCAGGCAGTTTTGCTTTAAATTTTACATTCATGTTTCAAGTCTGTGTGGGTTCTAGTTATAGGCAGACAAAAATAGGCTTGCAACAGTCACCCTCTCTGTATTTCCGGGGCCAGTGTTTTCTTTAAAGAAAAGGTTATGTGAAGAATGAACAAAACTTTCACCTAACTGCCAAGGAACAAAGCCAGTATGAAACAACTTTTTTTTTTTTTGGTCTTCAGAGCAGAGGAAAAAAAAATCACATAGAACAAGCACACCTGCCAATGCTGGGTTTCCTTTTGCCTCACATACAATGAAAAAGTAACAAAATGAACTGCTGGAGCTCTGGCAGCAAGAACAGAAAGACTGTGATGAGGCAGGAGCCTACAGAACTCAGTGAGCCTCCTCAGTCCCTGTGTCCTGGCTGCCCACGCCTGGCTGCACAGATGGTACTGCAATTGCCAGCTGTGCTGGGTTTGAAAAGACAAGTAATCAGTGAAGATGGTGGAGGAATGTATGTATAGATATCTCAGTAGTCATTTATGAAAGCATGTCTCATGTAAGAGTGAAGAAAGATGATATTTAAGATACTTTATTTGAAAGATGACCTCACAGGTGATGGTCTAATGCAGCAGTTACCCTTACTTACCACATGCTGATTAGCTTCCCCCATCAGAACACAGCAGCTCAGGTACGTTACACTCATGCATGCCTCATTACATAGCCAAAAACCTGCTCAGACATCACCCAGAGCATCATCTCCCAGAAGCTCCTTGTCTCTTAGGACACCAGCAAATTCATTGCATTTGGTGGACAATTAGGCCTCACAGCAGCCTGCGAACATTTCCCCGTTTTGCAGAAACAGAAGCAGAACAATTAGCAGAAGGAACCACAGTAATTCAAGCACAGAGCAAGGGATGAAGATCTGGGCCATCGACTGAAGCATCTGACTGCTCCATCTGAAGTGCCCCATCCACTCCGGTGTCTCAGTGGCTTTGCTCAGCCACGCACCAGTTGCAAAATCAGGATTTGTCAGGCACTGCAATGGCTGCCCAGGGAGGTGGTGGAGTCGCCGTCCCTGGCAGTGTTCAAGAGGCACCTGGATGAGGAGCTACGAGATCTGGTTTAGTAGCTTGTGGTACTGATAGGAATGGGAGGATACTTGGACTAGATGATCTTGCAGGTCGTTTCCAACCTTGTGATTCTGTATCTATGATTTATGACGATTTTCCTCTGATCATCTCTCTGCTGCTGATCAGATACAAACTGAAGCAAGGACACACACATACCAGGTTTCCATATGCCACACAGCAAAAGGCATGCAGACATAAACACCAGGTGCAGCTATACCTCAACACATCAACATGTTTGCAATGGCCCTGCTAGAAAGGACTTGTGCCAGATGGACTGAGACACTGAAGCTCCCAGCCAGGCAAAAGCCCAACACTGAGGCACTCTGACATATTCTACTTTCCTGCAATGCAAATGCTGTCCCTGTAGACTCAGACAGGAAAGCTGAATGACACAGCAGTCACGTTACTCCTGTAATAGCAGACAACTCTTCAGACAGCCTCTGATCTCCTCCAGAACCACGTCTCTCCTCCCCAGTGTTGCACTCACACATGAGGGCAGGGCCTGGGTGGCACAGGGATCCTGCTCATTAGCTGATGGAGCAGATGAAGAGCAGCAAGCTGAAGATCCAGCAACAGATTAAAAAAACATAAGATGACAAATGGCAGACTTTTGTCCTAAGGTCACGAGAGCAGAGTCGCAAGAAACTTAAGTCATTCAGTCAACTCCCTCGGGTAGGGTGAGGGCTAACCACAGGTCACTAAGTTCAATAGCATTTCCTCCACTTTCTTAGCATGCATATCAATACTTGACTTACCTCTTGCAGAAAAGAAGGAGAGCAGGGCCTCCATCAATCTCTTGCATGGCTTTACATGAAAATACTTTCAAATTCTCTCATTCAATTAATCTTTCCTTAGCATTTACCCTGTCAAGCATCCAACGGGGACTGAACTAAGAATAGTAGCCGAGGTGAAGGACAGTGCTTGCTGGTAGGATTAGCTGGAGCAATTACAGGTAGCAAATCTCTGCTATTCAAAGGCTTTATCATTAAGCAGCAAGAGATATGACTCTTTTTGGTGAGGGATTTTTTTTTTTTTTTAATTAGAGGAAGGTTGACAGAGCACAGAGCTGCTGCATGCATGCAACTCCGCATACAGCTGCCTCCCTCTGCTGGGGGACAGGTAGCCAGCAGCCCCTGAGGCATCACCACATGCGTGTTCATTCCATGGCAGATGTTCCACCAGGGCTGCAGGCACCCAGGGTCACAGGGCTGCAGCAGTAAGGACAAGTGCAGATGCAGGAGTCCTTCAGAAGCACAGCAGGAGTTGCTCATCATGCTTTTTCCTACCAGTTCACAAGGAGAACAGTCACTTCACTCAAGCTGTTCAAGAGATCTTTTCTTCCTCCCTCCTTAGATTCCCAGATTGCAGGTATTTATTTTTGTTGCATGCTTCATATCTGCAGAAGAAATGAAACTGCCAGCTAGCCAGCAATGAGGTCCAGTTCGAGTGCCCAGGTTGCAGTGCTGCATAGGGAGGGAAGTCCATGCAGCAGCACCTGCCTTCACAAATAGGCAACTGCACAGGGACAGCAGTGATGACACATCTCTCTTTACCCTGGCCACACTTACTCTAGCACTGCTGCAGTACCATGACTCCTCTTGACATGACTCCCATGCAGTAAGGGCTCTTCCTAAATCAATCCTTGTCTCAACTCCCCACCCATTTCTGCAGCTTGGAGCCCATCCAGACAGCAGTGCACAGAGCAGTCATCAAGAATAGAACTGCAGCAGTTCAAAGCTTTTGAAAGCATACAAGCAGAGGTTTCTGCATCCTTCTTGGCTGCAACTGCAGCCCTTCAGGACACAGAGAAAGAGCTCAACTATAAATCAAGCTGTATGGGCGCACAAATGCCAGCGCCTTGTTCACAGTTCTAGTGGCTGTTTTTAGATATTGTGCCATGCAAGTT